ATTCAGCTTTGTTCGGGTATTTTCCCACGTCATTGTAGTTGTGCTTTTAAAGTTGTAGCAATTGTAGATTCTGCCGAAACGTTGCTACAACTTTAAATGCACAACTACAATGACGTGGGAAAATACCCGAACAAAGCTGAATAACATACATACATACATACATACATAATTACAGACATAATTTGCTCATCTAGATAAGAAACATGATATCGGGTCAAGAAACTGGCTGCTCTATTACCTGTAGTTCTCCTTGCCACCATCCAGTAGAATTTTTCTGCAAAATCACAATCAACTGTCCAGGAGCGAGACTCAGCTGTTCCGTTCCTGATGCAGTGTAGGCTGTTGTAACTTGAGCAATTTCTAAACAGAAATATGTATCAGTGTAAAATGTATGATTATAATAGATAAACACACACAAAAAAAACCAGTAATACTCACCAGGTTTTTTATTTAATGTTCCTGTTTTGCTAGCTGTAGGAGAAATCTACAAAAAAGAACAAACAATTGGGAGCCCAAGTTTAATTTCAGTTCTCCCCCATTTTTTATTGCAAGTACCCATTTTTGAAGCATAGCACAAACTTAGAAAATCTAAAATCAGTCCTTTCTGCAACAAATTCTGCCTCCCTCCTCCCTCTCTTTTATCCCCTGGCCAAAAGTGCCATAAGAATGGGCAATATTTATTCTCTGAGACAAAGCCAAATTCTTCCCTATTGCATTTTCTTGGGCTTGTACATGTATCCTTGCAACTGTCTTGGTTTTATTCTTGAAACCCTGCATCTCTAACCGGGAAAAAAGAAATTCTAAAAGCAGAACAGTTAGATGAAGTCTTACATCAGGATCCTTTGGTTTGACATAGTTTGAAGGAAAGATTCCACTTCTATCACCAATTCTTCCAGTCCACCATTCCCCATCTTTCTGACTCACTACTATTTCTTCACCTTCAGTGAAAGTTAAATCACCAGGCTCGGAACTTGAATAAGGATATAGTGCTACATATTCTGAAAAGGTAGAGAAAAATTCAGTCATGTAGTAAAGCTATGTATGACTAAAGATTGTAAAACACTGATTCATATAATCCTTTCTACTTCAAAATCTGTGACTAATGCTCAGGTAACATCAGGCAACAAAGGAAATTATAGATACCTTTTTTAATGACATAAAAATTCAAAGTCAAATGTAATACTTCAATAGCTTAATCACACATGAACATATTCCTCTCACATTCAACCATCTTACACCATTCTTTGGCAATATGTAATGTCCCTTCATGTATCCAGGTCCAGCATGGCAGACAATTACAAATATGGTGCTATCTTCTACTGTGTTTGTAGTGTTGCTTACTAACAGAGGAAAAGATACCCTCATCACATACATATACACAGCACATTTTTGCAAGTATAGCATCGCTTTTGCAAAGCAAATTTATTCTTCACTTAAGTTAATGCTGTTAGTAGAGTTGGAATGCTGTGCTTAGGCTAACTTCTTTGAATCCAGCATGTTGATTTCTTATCACGTGTCACCAATTTATCCTGCATTTAACAATTTTAATGAAATTATTTTATTAAAGTATTCAGAGAAAAAGTACACTCCTCAGGTAAAATATATGGAGACCAGAATAAAAGGCTTTTCTATCTTTGTTATTACAAATATTTATCTCAGAACATTTATAGCATTGGATAGATAAACACATGTTAGTGTTCTAGCATGGGTGTCTGAAATACTGTGCAGTAAGTACTATGCATGTTCTTTATTCCTTGAGACATATACACTCATTCAAAGACTTAAGAATCAGAGTTCTTACATGGAGTTCTTGCTCTCACCTGAAATACCAATTGATGTGGAAGGATTCTTATTTATAACTGCATAAACAGCTTCTGGTCTGCAGAAGAAATAATTAAGTTATAATTATTTTTCCATATTTAACTATTCAAACTTACGAGATATTTGGAAACAAGGGAAAGTATAGATTCCTCAAGTCATTCTGAATATGATGAGATGAAGTCTCATCTCTTTCTTTCTCACATAGCCCTCCCCATCCTATCCTTGGGGTGGACTTGAAGTGAAGCTTCTTCATCACACTAGCCATACTTCGGTGTGCTATGGTTAATATTAATTGGTTAAAATAAGCCACTATTGGAATCCATGGTTTAAAGTTAGGTGACTTCCTACAAACCCATCAGCAGAAGGCATTTAATAAGAACACAAAGGAAGGGAGATGAGAAATTCTGTATGAAGATGGTACTTGTTGAGGTAAAACCACTGATCTGCTAAAAGGTTTCTTCCAAATATATTCCTCAATTTCAAACTTCATTTTAAAAATTCTGAATTTATCCAAAAATTTGGGAATGTAATGTATGAACAGTTAAAAAGAGAATAAAAATTATCTGTGCAATTGTTCTTAATTCTAAAACTAATATTCAAAGCCAGCAAAGTTTAAAGACAGACATGCTAAAACATCATCTGTGGGGAAACAGAGATTGTCCATATGAATCCCTCCAAATCTCAATCAGTCTTCTATTCATCTTCTACACAAACCACACTTATTTTGCCAATAGTTTCAGCTGAAGTATTCTGACAGCCTTACTTACTCCTCTCTTTGGAATTCATTTCCAGGTAAAATCTTCACATAGGATTTGGGAAACCATCCTCTTCCTTTACCAGCTTCTCCATACCACCAATTTTCTTGCTGCTCCAGCACAGTAATTATGTCGTTTTTTGAAAAGTTTAAATGATTATCTTTTTTTGCAGTCCAAGAGCAAAGTGCTTGTGCTTTTATGTTTTCTACCACTTGTCCCTGTCAAAGATAGTATGTTAATGTCAGCCATGCAAGTTTTAAAGACACAAAATATACTAAAAATATGTTCACTCCAAAAACATTTAAAACAAACTAGCAGCTCTACTTTGGAAGAAGCCAAACATATTTGGAATATACTGCAAATTGATTTGGGATAGTATAGAGAAAATGAATAACTCCGCCATGTAAATGGGAATAGTTATATTTACAACTATCTTTAAAAGCGCCCAGTAAAATAGATTAAATGTGTGTTTTAAGGATAATGTAGTTTGTTAACTGCCCATAAATAAGTCAGAGTCAGAGCTGAAAAAGATTCTTGGATGAGAAGTGAAACATCTTCAAAAGAAAAACTGAGAAAGTCAGTTGCCTCTTGAAAAAGCATCTTTGGGTCAACAATGATTTGGATGACTGAGAATCTCCATACACATTTGCCCATAAATAATTTTTTTTAAAAAAATCTATTGTCTTGCCTACAAATTCCAACTGAATTATGGAAAAAATTCAATAAAATAGAATCAAGCAGGACAAGATCTGATGAACTACCTTGAAAATCTGTGATAGATATGGCATCCTTTCATAAACCAACGATTAGCCAATTATGTAGATTACCACTATGTATTTTTGTATATAATGTAGTATTATGAAAGAGAATACTGAGTACTTTTCATAGAATATACATTTTTCTAATTGAATGCTACAAATTAGACGGTTACAACAATTTCGTATTTTATATATTTATGTGTTTCATTTATAGATTGTGCATTCCCAAAGACTCTGGGCTGTTAACAGCAGCATCATAAAATAAAATGAGCTCCCCCCGCCCAAAAGGCCAACCCCAAATATACATTTCATAACCAAATCAAAAATATAAAATACCTAAAGTACAAAACCTATGTGCTTCGGTGTCCTTGGCATATCGATGCTCCCAACCCTGTGCCAACAGTTTCATTCTGTACTAAGAACATACCTGTCCATGGATGGGAGAAACAGATCCTGGGGAAACAGTACGAGTAAAGGCAGACTTTTTCTGCCATGAGCTAGCATTTAAGTTTGTGAAAGATACATTTTGGTACTCTGCTTCGTCTGCTGGTTTACTGGGTGAATGCACTCTGCAAGATCAAAACATATACATAAGGGAATTACTTTCAATAAAACCCAATAGGTGAAACCATCGTAGCAAAGTAGCCAAAAAACTTTCAGTCTCACAGAAAGGACATCTTAGGGATGTTTTTATAATTTATAGCTTCTGCAACTGCTAAGGAATCGTTACTGTGCAGAAAGAGAGAAATTATTGAAAGCAACTTGGAAACCTTTTGCATGCAGATGGATCCTCCAATTACAGCTATCATTTTTAATTCAAGAAGCACACATTACCAAAACACAGTACAGATACTTTTACATTTTTAAACTGGAACAGAGATCAGCTGCTCTCATATTATGTCAAATTAAAAATTTGTGATGTTGGTGCATTCACCGTGAATTAGTTTTATTGAAATATTTGTACTGTATTATTCTTTAACCTCAGCTGCTGATTACCTATTTGTGTGTGTATGTGTATGTGTGTGTTCGATTATTATTCTTAGCCAGCTGGTCACTAAATAAATTGAATACATAAATTTATATTTACTCTAGAGGAACTGAAGTAGCTGGTACGGTGACTGTAGGAGGAAGTAAGGCTTTCTTGGGAGGTGAAACAGCTTTTTCATTTTCAGATATTTTCTCTACATAATTGCATGGAAACCAGCCAAAATGTCCTTGAAAATTTCCATATAACCAGCCAGGTTCTCCTTCAGTTTTCTCAGCAACCTGGAAAGGAAAAGGAAAAAAAAATAATCATTTTTTTTATTTGTTTACAAATATGTTTTAATTCTGCTACATGTTAGGAAGCATTCTGTAAAGAAAAAAATAAATAAAATTATTTGGGATTAAGTAAATTAAGTTTTTATTTATTATTCAGAAATGATAATTTACCTCAATAATATCTCCGGAATGGAAGCTTATCTCATCTTGATTCCTGGCTTCAAATGGGTATAAAGCTCTATAATTCACAAAGCCGGCTAATGTCTTAGAATCAGCAGCACTAACCGCATGGCCTAAAAAGGAAAGGAGAAACTATTAATTGATCGCTAGTTCCTGACAAATGCTTTTTCAAGTCTATTTCTAGGAAGGTCAGGATTTCAGCAAGCGCACCACCTTATCCTCCTATTTAAATCTTGGGAAGAGCCAAATATACAGGAATCATTACTACTGAAAAGTTGCCATCCCTTTAAGCTCCTACTTCCTCACAAATCAGGAACAGCAAAAGACACTGTAGACAACTATCAGAGGTCATGGTAGATGTTATCTAAATGTCTGTGCATAACAAAAGCCTTTCAATTAATGCACAGAAATCTTCTTCTGTGGTAACCACCGCCATTCCATAAAAGTCCCATTCTCAGTAGCAAAGCAAAGCAAAGCAAAGAGAAGGGGAAATCAGTAAAAACCTGCATCTGCTATCTGACTGGAGCTCCATGAGAGGAACTCTTCTGGAGACAGTCCTATCTCAAGGATGGAAGCCACCTCAGGATCCTAAATGTTGTTTCAAACTACAGACAAATCCAAACCAAACCACTCACATCTAAAAAAGAATAGTTACCTTCACTTTTCACGACAGACTTAAGATTTCCCTTTGTTTGTTTAAGAACATTTACGTTTTTCTCATTTAAGTGAGAAACAGATTTCTCAGAATCTTGCAAATTAAAAATATCTTTTCTTTTCTTCCCTTCTTCAAATCGTTTAAGTTTCTCCTCAGCTTCTTTTGCAATTTTCTCCTGTCTTTTTTTTTCTTCTGCGTTTTGTTTCTGCCTTTGCTGCTCAGTTTCTCTTAGAATTCCTACTTTTTTATTTTGTCTTTTCTCTTCAAATTTCTCCTCTGCCAGTTTTGGGTTCTGGATCTCCCTCTCTCGTGCAATGACCTCCTCAGCTCTTTGTTTTTCCTCATGGATCTTTTCCTGCATTCGATCTTCTTTCAGACGCTTTTTTCTTTCTTCTTCTTCCTTCCTGATGGTTTCTTGCCACAAGTTCTCCTTTTCCTGTTTTGCTTTTCTTTTGAAAGATAGAAAAGAAATAAACATAATTATTCTGATATTAGTATTTGAAAAGCAAGAATGACTGGCAAACACTTGATGTGAACCTTATACCAGCTTCCTTTTCATTGCCTTTTGAAGGTTTTAGGTTCACCTGTATGATGCAAAGTCTTGGTTATAGCAATATTAATGTATACTATTCACTGAAATGCATGTATGTTGATGCAGAATGTTAGAAATAAACTTAAGCCTGATTTTAATTTTGTCACAGCAATTGAATCAGTAAAGAGTGGTAAATGCTAGCATGCATAAGGACTCTCAAAATGCAGTTTCTGCATTAATTGTTGCTTATTCATCGGAAACAAAGAATAAAATGAAGGGGCTAGAGGAAAAATTAGGAACACTTTAAACACATTACCGTGTAGTTTCATCTTCTATTCTTTTTTTCAAAGCAAGTTCGGTTCTTTTTCTTTCCAGTTCTTGAATTTTTTCATATTTGATTTTGTGGAGCTGTTCAAGTGCTTTCTGCTGTGTGCAGTAAGTTTCTCTTAGTTCCTATTAAGAAAGCACAAAATTAAGTAAGCAAAAAGGCAAGCAGATTTTAGAGAAGTGATTCCATTTAATATTCTGAATCCAAATGTTCCTGCAAGTTTCCAACCAATCATATAGACCAAGACAAAATTATTTTAGTTTATTTTTTGCTTTTGAGGCCAGTGGTGGGATTCAAATTTTTTTTTACTACCCGTTCTGTGGGCATGGCTTGGTGGGTGTGGCAGGGGATGGATACTGTAAAATCTCCATTGAGGTGGTATTTGCCAGTTCTCCAAACTACTCAAAATTTCTGCTTCCGGTTCTCCAGAACTGGTCAGAACTTGCTGAATACCACCTCTGTTCCATACCATTTGAATTGCCTTTAAAAAACATTTAAAGTCATTCTTCATGGTTTTGCAAATGTGCAGAAAAACTGCTGCTGTGAACATAGTTTTCTAATCACTTATTATGTGTGTTTTCCAAATTTACAAGTTAGATCCATTTTTTTGTAATGACGATGGCAAAAAGTTACATTTCTTCACCACTGCTACAGCCTTGTAGCGATGTCTACAGCATGGCAAGAGGACATCTCAATCTACCTGACATGATATCACAGATACCTGCCAACACTTTGAAGACTGTATGATTCTATTCTAATCCCTAAACTGTGAGACGATTTTCAATTGCTGAGGCATGAATATTTTGTTATTTCTCTACTACTGGGATTTGTTAGTGCCCTCTCTATGCCTTTGTCAACCAATTTTCAAAATTTTAGTTATTCTTGCCGCCTTAAAATTTGCATTATTTTTCATTTTTTTTAACTTAAAATTTTATTTCTAAAAATTTAACTTTTATATACTGTTTTACTGTACACTCCCGGAGACCATCTTTGGGAGAGATGGGCGGCTCAAAAATGTGAAATAAAAATAAATAATCTAAAATCTATGAACACCGCCTCAGCCTCCCAACTAAAATGAATAGAGCCTTGTATGAGCTTCAAGACCACATAAGGATCTACTTAATCTCGGAAGAAATGGTAATTAGAATATATGTAAATTGTTGCATGTTTACTTTATCATTTTACTACATGTTTACTGGTGCAGGCATCGAGTAATTATTATTTTTATTCAATCATGTTCTGCAAAGACCTTGTATTAACCTTAATTATTAAGGTCAACATGCCCATCTTGTGGATAACATATAGAGTGTTGTGATTACTGTACTACTGAATCAACTGAGGGTGCTTAGCATCATCTTTACAGAGTTTTTACCCTGCAGTATACATGTAATTCGTGACATTTACACATTTAAGCTCTCTAAAGATTGCACCCATTTCCAAAACCTCAAGACATAGATGTTTCATTTCCAATCTCATACAATGAAGGGGCTAAGGATGAATGTATGACAGAGTTATTGATATTCTGAGGTTTTTTTTTTTATCATTTCCAATACCACAAACATAACACACAAAGTCTCTGAACAGAAATCAGTAGCTGAACTGTTCATATCTATTTCCCGCTACATTTCTGACCTGCCATCACGTTCTTCAATGAACTATTCAAATGGTTCTTTTCAGTCCCTCACTTTTCTCTAGTAATTAGTGAAGAAAAAATAAATGAATACTTTCATACTTGGGTTACATGCTTTGCTGAAATCTGCTAATCTTCAAATCAGGCTTGCTTTAGTTATGTAATATGTTTCACACGCAGCCCCATTAAGTAGGCCAGACCAAGAAATCACCTCTAGTTGTCTATTCATTGAACTTGCGTATCTCAGTCCAGGTCATTTACTTTGCCCACCACATTCATTAACAATATGTATTTTGCTGGGTGTATTTCTCATCCCCATTTTTTTCTGATTCAATTAGACCACTATTAATTCTATTTATATTTGAGTAGCTTTCCATATGGTGATGGGAAATTTTCCAAACAAAGCTTCCCCATCAACAAAGAGTGAAAAAAAAAACTTTAATAATTATTGTATCTGCATATTCTTCGTACAATAATACCCATAAACTGTAAACTATAGCACTATATGTAGTTGGGGATGGAATTACTGGAAGGAATCATAAAAACATTGATGCGTAGAAGGCTCTTCCTCAAAGATTCTCAAGATCTTTTGGTATGTTACATCCTGTCTGAATAATGAGAGACTCTTTGCAAATAATCTTTTTTAATTCAGTGTTAGAAGGTTGTGTGCCAATTACTTGACTTGGGTTGAATGTTTCTGCCAGTTCTGGCTAAGTCTCTTTCCTGCAATCACCCTTTATACTGAGTAACAATGCCATTGTTAAATTGAGTACAGAAAATTGGACTGTTCTAGTACACTATCAGCCATATGATTATCAAGTAACTGTATTATACTATTAGACATTGTCAGCAAATGTCAAACCAACTGTTAAATGATCAAGATGAATTACAAAATCTGAGAGTTACTCTGGTATAGTGGCTAAGATGCTGGATTAGAAACTAAGACATTGGAGGGACCTTCCTTAAGCACAGAAACTGGCTGAATGACTTTGAGTCAGTGTCTGTCTCTCAGCCCAATCCACCTGACTGGGTTGTTGTGAGCAAAATGGGAAGAAAACACATTATGAATGTTATTTTGAATTGTACAAAATAAAACAACCTTGTATTTATCCCTTGCTCTTACTTTCATTCCATTGTTTAATATTTTCAAATGGGAGTATTTGGTCCAAATCAAGTGCCAGGTCAAGTCTTCAAAAATTGTGCTTGCACATACACAGAAGAACATTCCTTGCATATCTAGCATGTACCTGCCAGTCTTTCTCCATCATACATGTAGGAAAAGATAGATTGCTCCCCACCTTCCAAAACTGCTTTGCTGCAGAAACAGCGGAAACTGTAAGATCCCCCTTTTTTTCAAAAATGTGTCTTTTCATATTACCAATGGCCCAAGAAAAAAAGGACCTGTGTGGCTTAATATAGCCTGGCAAAATTCCTATCCCATTCTAAATAAGTGCACCTCAGGCAGGACACCCTTTCCACAGGGCTATAGGCTAGCACAATCCTATCTTACACTTGTTATATGGAGTTGTCATCCTGAGCCTTCTGGATGTGCTTTGATACTAAATAGAGGGATATAATATTTTTTTCACATGCCCAAAGACAGGTGATGCTTCTTAATGATCTTGTACCCAAACTAGGTAACATCATCAATGCTAGTGAAGCATTGAAACACTAGCACTGATGATGTTACCTAGTTTGGATAATGGAATGCCAGGGAGTATCAAAAACATGTATTTTCTGAAAGCAGCCACAAAACTTTAAAACTGGACAGGAAACAAATCCTGTGATGGAAGCAAATGCCAACTTTATTCACTCATTATATTGACAAAATGAGGAATTGATATATTTGTTCATCTTCTTATATAATCTATTTATCAGAAATTCTATGCAACATTCCAAAAACAATAAGTTGATCAGTTACTCTGTGAACAGATATAGAGTATGAATATTGGTACGTCCCAGGATACTCTGTGACTGTTCTCAAAGGGATTATTTATGAACAATGGTGACACAAAGACTAGTTTCATAATGAAAAATGAAAGTCAGAATTCACAATGATGTTCAACTGTATAATCTATGATTTTAAGCAGATACCGAAAGATGTTTTTAATAAATCAATTATTAACATAGAAAAGTTGCATAGCTAATACAATTATCACTGTTGTATGTCCTGCATTTCAATTCTCCTTGACTTCTCTGTTTTATAATTCCCTTTGTTCTTTTTCAGAGTAATATTCAGTGCATGTGTTGAAGCAATAATTTATAAAATCTCATGTCACACTATTGTTTTGCTACAAAAGACCAATACTGTTACACTTCCTTGTCAAGAGCTCTGGAAATGCTTTCTTCTCTTTGATCTAAGGGGAAACTGGGAAAAGATGAAGGCAATATATGGTAGCCTATATGCAAATTATCAGAGTAATTGTCACATTATTACAATGGAAAAGCCAAACAAAGATGATCCTATATATAGCATGTTCAGCAGCAGTTGTTGTGGTGGGATGGAACTTGGATGCAAAGAGGTAATCAAATGGGTTTCTGAAAATAGTCTAAAGATATAAAAAATGAGGGAACAAAAACCTTAAAATTTTTACTCTCGACATATAAAGCTTGCCTTAGTGATAGTCTACTTGGCAGTTAGTTTATTATAAAAAGCAAAACACATGGGAGAGCAAGTCAACATGTAATGGGTTTTGTAATTTCACAAGGTTTTTCTCCCAGGAATATGTAGTCTTGAGATTTTATGATCTTAATCCAACACCCTCTGATTCTGTAACTACCTAAAAAGAAAGTTTCTGTCAATGTTCTTGAGGCAAAATAAAGCATATCTCTATCTCTCTATCTGTGGATTTTTGTTGGTCTGGGGAGAAGCAGTGACTGTTTTTCACAAAGTGTTTTTTTTTTACTTATTCTGGGAATTCTGGCCTTACACTTTTCCTTTGTTATGCATATAATAGACAACCATTTTTCTATGGTCAAAATAGACAAAATAATAACAATCTTGATTACAGATAGGACTTTGCTTCAGATAAACTGGTAATGAGTAGTAATCCATCCATCACACACTATGAGAGTTTTAAGGATTTTGCTTAAAAGCAGTGACATGAGGATTATTCCTACCCTTTCCCACAATTGAAAATATTTAGTTAGTAGACAGAGTTTAAAAGCAAGCAGAAGGCAAATAAAATCTGTTCCTGCAATAGAGCACCAAATAGGAAAATATTTTAAGTGCTACAGAAATGCAAATTATTTTTTTAAAACACACACACGCACACACAGAAAACATGGAAATTATTAGAAGCAAAAAAAGGCCAAAGATTAGAAAATAACCTTAAGTAAGAGGAAGAGGTTGTTGAGACAGCTTAGCAGATACAAAAGGCACTGAAGAATAGAAGCATCCATAGTCTCACACTGTAAGATAAGGCAGATAAAAAGCAGTTAAACTTTTCACTGGGATTGTTGTGAAGGTGGAGAATTTAAGGGTTATGACAAGGTATTGGAATAATTAACCAAGCAATCAAAGTTCTGATTCTGAGACAGAGTCTTCTATAGCCAAAATTAGTAACATTAGATTCACAAATAGGATCAGCAATAAACTCTTGTCCTCTGCAATGTTCCTATTCAGCCATCATTTCTTCTGCTGCATATGCCATTCCATTTCTATTCTCATTTTCTACAATAAGTCAAGCATGCTATAGAATGCATAAACATAATTGGGCAGAGTTTGGGAAATGGGCATTCCTTCAACTGTTGATCCCTTTGATGCTTCCTGCTTGAGATGAAATGGTGCTATTTTATAAGGATTGGGATGGGCATCTTTCTACAGTATTTGCATGTAAGCTCTACAGTGAAAACAGGCACTACAATGGAATTGGCCTCAAGGAAGCAGTCTATCAAAAAAAAAACTTTTATATTTGTTGCTCTACCCCTTGACATAGACAGAACAGACAGGTCAGGAACTGTGGTCCAATCCTCTTGACAATAGCATTTAATGAAACAGATCACATAGCTGCTCCTTTACAATCTCCTTTCACTTGCCCAGTTCTACAGCATATATGATTCACAGGTAGACCTTTCTTAATGATTGCCATGTTTAACAATCATTCGAAGCTAAAACTGAGCTGACAAAGTAGTTTTACAATCAGTCTTTCCACTTACAGCCATCATAGCATCTCTGCAGTCACAAAATTGCCATTTTGTCACTTTTACATCAGACAAGTGTTTACGACTGCTGCAGCATCCCAGAGTTATGGGATCACCATTCCAAAAAGCAGAGTCAATGGAAAGCAGTAAAATCACAAGTCACAGTCATGTGTTGTCTCATTTAACAACTGTGGCAGGAGTGAGGTTAGTCTACTTCAGTAACATGATTACTTGTTTAATGATTTGGTTGCTTACTGATAGAGCTGGTTGTCCTAATTGTAATAATTAAGCAAGGACTAATTAAGCAAGGACTGTATATGTAGTTGGCTAGGCTAATTTTCCAAACTTAATCAGTCACAACAGTGCTCAGTTATGTAACTGAGAAGAGAAAGCTGCTTCTTCCATATCACCTGCCTATGCTGTCCACTTAGAGAAGGGAAAAAAACAAGAAAGTAAAGAATGGAAAGTGATGGCAGCACTGACTTTTCCCTTTATTGCATTTACAGACATACTCTATTATCTATCAGCTACATGGAAAGGTTTCAGACACATATTGTTAATAGGAAATTACTAATCACCGCGCTCCCAAGATTCTCTTAATCAAAAAACATAGCTTTACCAGCTCTCCATATTCCAATTAATATGCATGTATATATATCTAAATATGTTTTATAATTTAAACACAAATATGTTGTAATGTAGCAGGGAATACTGTCACTAAACAACTTATTCATCTCATTTGATGCCTAGGATTTGACAGCTGAAGGACAATTTCAAGTCCTCCATTCATAATCTTTGGCTCTGAAAGAGATTTGAATCATGCTCTCTGTCATGCTGCAATCACGGCTTTTGGGAGGAGATGACAGAAAGCAAGAAAGAAAAGAAGACATTGCTACTAAATATGCCAGGTAAGGAAGATTTCAGGTGTAGCTTAAGCCCTTGCTTCTCTATTTTGGAAGCACACTTTTATTTTAGGAAAGAGGTTGAGTAGAAAACCTAACTGCTAATAAAAAGAACATGGAGTAGAGTAAGCTTAGTAACTGCAGTTTGTACACATTTTTGGCTTTCTCACTCTTTTCAAGCTTTTTGTTTTCTCCATATTTCCCCTTATCTGCATATTCCCAATTCTCACTGTGGTGACATACATTCTGTAGCCGAATGGAAGGAGAATAGAATGTTGTAATATTAACTTCATTTGCACCAAGAATTTGCTTAGGTGTATCTCAAACAATGAACTTATTGAATGAAACAGCTGGCCTTTTGTTTTTATTACATTTTATATATAAGCTTTTATTAATTAAGGAAACCAGTATTTGCAAATCTTATTTTCATCTATGTACCTATGCCAAGGTTCACATTCAATATTTTAGTGGATGTTACTTTGAGTATTAACCCTACAATATGAAAAATAGTACACATGTGAATCTTGGTGTAAATGGGCCAAACTGCAAAACGCTGGTAGTAATTCTTTTTAAAATCAAGTTGGAGATGGGCAAAATGGGCAAGCATTTGAGTATCATCAATGAAATGCATTTTTATGTGATCTCATGAACAGAAGATACCACACAAGGCTTGATTGGTTGAAGGAATAAATTAGAAAGAACATTTTGCTAAATGAACAATCCTTGATACTTAAATAAAAGGCTACAACCAAAATGTACCTTGAGCTGCTTATTAAACATATCAATTTCTGACAGCTTGGAAGTGGTTTCTTTTTCTAATGTATCTAATTGTTCCTGAAGTTTTTGGCATAATACTTCTTTTTCAGATGATTTCTTCTGCAGTGAATTTAGAGGTGTATCTGCAAAAAAAAGATCAAATATTTAATATTTACTTACAAATTTTTATTTTTTTGCCCCTAATATATATATATATATGTGTGTGTGTGTTTGTGTATGCATGTGTGTATATATATATTTACTTAATTTACTAATACTTTAGTCTTTGACTAACTATAGGGGAGAGCTGCCTTAAACAGTCAAATTGCTATGCAGTGATGTTACTCACAGTACAAAAAGGAATGGGAAGATTTTGTGTGTGTCTGAAAAGGGGATCTCAGAACTCCTTTTCAGACATATCTCATGTGAGGAAGGAAAAAACTCTTGAATGAATGCACTCTCACAAACATGTACACATAAGACCAATGATACTTACCAAAAGAGTTAGTAATCTTGTTGTGATTTATTTTCTCACTTAATTTTTGTTTCTCAGGAACAAGAGCAATCAGCTTATTCTGATATTCCTGTAGAGTTGAGGGTGGTATATTTTAGAAAAGTATTACCAGCATAATGTGTTTGACATAATCTGATAATACAAATGAAAGCATACAGGTAAGGAAAAACACTCCTGCACCCATTTAGTGGCTTCTAAAGTACCCTCCAAGTGACTATGGCCCAAATTTTCAATGTTTCTTGAGAAATTAACAGGGTAAAATTCTTTTAATTATCAGACTCAGATATCAATTTTGCACCTTAAAATCCCCAGTCGGAGAAATGGCCAGTTCCTAAGTGTGAATTCTTTTTTTTTTTTTTGAAAAAATTATTTGGGTTTTCACAGAAACAAAATACAAATAAAACATCTTTTTTTGAAAATAGCATGGTCCCAGGTGATCACTTCTTCATACAGACACAAAACTCAATTTCATGCTCATTTTTATATTCTATTCCATATCTTATTACCGTTTTATATTTTCCTCATAGTTTTTCCCCTCTTTTATTTTCTCAACTTTATTTTAATTAACTCATCTCAATTCAAATCATTATATTTATACTTCTGTCTGTCCTGTTTCAATTTCATATTATCTTTTCTTATTAAACAAATTTTTCCCTGTAGTTACCAATTGGAGTATGACACCTTTATATCTTTTAATTTTATCCATTCAAACTCTTATTTAAGCTTCAATGTATACCTTTAAGATTCAATATAATACATAACTTCCAATCGAATTTTGCTTGGTACATTCTTAAAATACACACTATATTCTTAAAAACAAAAGATTATATATATATGTAAATAAAACACACATTCCATTCCAATTGAATTCTATCATTAATATTCATTAAAATCTTAACATCTTTAACATTTCTTTTCAATTAAATATCATACTTCCTTGGGAACACTTCTAAACTTTCCATAGTTAATTCTTTTTTTCCCATATTTCTCACTTATATTTTTATAAATCATTACTAATAATTAAACGGTTCCCATTTAATTCTCTCAATCACTTTTGTTAGGTATAACATTGGTCACCTAACTAGTTTGGGTAAGATAATATATATATAAGCTATGATTCTTAGTTTAAAGTGTATATTACTTTAAATGCAAAGCATGTATTTTGGGTGTGGTGTGAAACCACCATAAGAGGGAGCAAGAGATGCTGATGAGAAGCTGACGATTCCCTGACGCTTTGCTGGCAATTACTGGAGTTGCAAACGGAAGAGAGGAGTTTCTGAGTTTGTTGCATATCTCTCTCTACTGCGAAGAGATAAATCACCGGACTGTTATTTTGTAAGTGTACTGACCATTTTCGACATTGGAATTTTGCAAATGAATACTCCCTGGACGGACTGAAATAAGTGTATGATATATGGACTGTTTTGACTATGCTTTAACTCTTGCTGGAATAAAACTACTTTAATTGGCACTGTATCTGCTTTTACTGAGTGTAAGCTACACAACACGATATCTCACATATTTTGCCTGCCTGCCTGACTGCCCTGCAGATCTTGCTAGGGTGTATCCCTAACAACTTTAATTCATTTATTTATTAACAAACATTCCACTACATTACAGTAAATATTTTATTCATCATTTTAGTCATATTTTCTAAAATTATTTGTTTGTAATATAACAATGCTATCTTATGTACCTTTGCAGAATTCCTTTTACAATTAAATTTTCACCCATTATCTCTAAACAAGCTTATAGTTACAATCCTTACATCTTTTCCCTATTTCTCCATTTCTTGTTTCTGTCTTTTACAATTTCTTTTCCTTGCCTTCTTCCCCCTCTTCTTCCCCCTCCCCTTTTTACCCCCTCGTCTCTCTACTTCTAACTCTCTCATCTATAATCCCCTCTTCTGTTGCTTTCTAATATTATACTTATCTTTCAAATTGTCCTTCTACTTTTTGGTTGTTTTTTCTAGTCTTAAACCTTTCACTCTCTTTCCCCACTTTTCTTTTTTCCCCTCACTTAAAATTATTTGATCATTAAAGATGGCTTCTTCTTTGTCCCAATCTTCTTGTTCTGCAAGCGTTTCTTGTTGTTTCTCATAGTTCCAGATCTCCATTTCTAAGAATTGAAATACGAAGCCAAAAGAACCTCTCCCTTCTTATGCATCTTCTTTCCATTTTTTAAGTTCCATTTTCAGTTCTTCTAAGAGTGATACCACTTTAAAGACTTTTAAACAACCACCCAGTTAATTTTAGTCATCTAGATGCAAAAACCAAAAATCACCAAGTAATCCAAATATTCCAAGGCTGTTTCTTCTTGCTTCTTTTTTCCACTTTCTCTTCCTGGGGTTCTATTATTTTGTTACCAAGTTTCAGTTAAAATGTATCTTTGAGGAATCTTGTTAAGATTTCACTGTAAGTTCCTTTTACTTACAGTTCCATTCCTTAGTTCCAGGCAGTCTCCTCCATTTTTCCAGATCCTGCCCTTTTATTCTTTTTTTTTCTCCTTTCCTACTTTTAAAAACTTTTAAATATCCAGAAATCTTTATTATCCCTTTGACTTTTATTTTCAGCTTAGATGCTTATTAATGTCAAAGTGGATTTTTTTCAATTTCTTGCTTAAGTCTCTTAGCTGTCAGTATAAGGAAGGGAAGAAAAAAAACCCTAATCTCTCTCCTTTGCAGCTTCAAAATCTTCTTTGGGAACAATGTTATTTAATTTAAATTCCAGGGTACCTTATGTTGTTGCTTTTTTGTTTTAACCTGGTCAACCAAAACTTTCTCTTCTTATCTTCCTCCTGCACGTTCTTTTCCGGCTCAGTTCTTCTTTGAGGTGGCCATTTCTGATCACCGCCGAAACTGCCTTCGGGAAAGGGAGTAATGGCCAGCTGGGGAAGAGAGATGCGGCTCTCCTCAACCCTGCTGGCAGTCTCCCCCTTCTTCACCACCTCTACGGGGTGGCTTAGCCCCGAAACCAGCCGGCTCAGGGCGCTCTGGTGGCAAGCACAGATCAAAACCACGCACGATCACGGATTTCAGTCTGTCGCCGAAGAGACTCAAACCAGAAGCCCCTAAGTATGAATTCTTAAAATCCTCATATACCTACTATAACAAAACATTTCCAAAATTATGTGTCCTTTGGATGAAACCAAACCAAACCTATTTCTGATGTAGGCAGATATATTCTGATATGGAGAATATATCTCCAATAATAAAAAAGTGGGAAAAGAGGAATAATGCAGCTCCAGGATCAATTATCCTTACATAAGGAATGTATCATTTATAAAATTTTGCATCATGAATGGATAAATAAAATCACCATCATTTCATGACACCCTGTCAAACAATGTCTCTGCTTTGTGATGTTGGTCAGATAAAGGACATTATGTCTTCCACTACCCCATTTACAACAAAATCAGGACCAAATTATTTATGTTAAGTGAACTCAAGGGCTCGAATTTTGAAAACTCTTCTTGTAGATTGGTTCTCAACTATCAACAACCAAGTTGCTACCCAATGGTGATGTCACCAGCAAAACCTTTCACCATGGAAGCACTTTGGTGCTTATGACATGGAAGTATTAGCATTACCCCAAAAGAGAGCAGCATTATAGATAAGCGTGGGTGCATTCACACACTTGTCTATATATATCTCTCATATGCTATAACAGCTCCCCACCCTTCACCTTAGGAATTATATATTTTATCTATCTCTCTATTCAGTTCCAACTAAAATCATTTTTCTTTGTGATTTCTGTTGATTGCCTGCACTAGTCCCTGCAGTTTTCTTCATGTGATTTTACAGAGGTTTACCACTGCCTACTTCCTAGGACTGGCCCAAATTACCAGCTGGTTTTGTACCTAAGGCTGGATTAAAACTCACTGTCTTCTGGTTTCTGGTGCTTTACTATATCAAAATGGCTCTAAAACTTTATAACATTTTTTTAAAATTAATAGTTATGCTACATCAGAGGATACTCAGAAGATTATAGCCTTAATAGACAAGTAAATGCAATATTCCCCACCACCTCGGCATTGACTATCATTTTGTGGGAATGAATCTCAGAGTTAATAAAATATCACATACTTGAAGCTGTTGTTCCAATTGCTTGATTTCAGTAATTCCCATATCACATTTCTTTTCTAGATTGGCAAACTCATTTTTATACTTTTGTTTTCTGTTACGGACATCTTCTAGTCTTCCAGAGATCTGTTGTTGTTTGTCATTCTGTATTAATAAACATTTTAAACATTACATCAATAAAATACACAAATTTATTGACATATAATTATGCATTACTTTTAACAGATTAACAGAGTTGGAAGAGACCTTGTAGATCTTCTAGTCCAACCCCCGGTACTTCTTTAACATTTAATACAAACTCTGGCATGTATGATTGAGACCTGCCAAAGTAAAAGTTAACTCTCTTAAGAGTTCTGTCTACCAGGTTCCTCCACTGAGTAGCAAGTAAAGACTAGGTGCTGGGCAACTTGGGTAAGTAATAGAATGGATATGCTACACATGAATGCAATGACCAGATATTCTGTTTAGCAATTCATTAATTCTTAATATAAGTTAGCTACTTACTGGGACAATGCAGGGATTCTGTTGGTAGACTATCAACTCTTTTTAACAATATTGCTCTTTTTAGCAAGGTACACTCAGGGATGTTTTGGACTATCTTTTTTGAGTAATTTCAAGATCCACATGGAGGATGGCTCAATATTTTATATCCCCAATTCAGCTACACAATTATCCCAATTAGTATTTGGATTGCAGGGAACTGGATGATCTATTAAGATGATCTATTGTAAGCACCTGACAAATCAATATTTAGTGAATTACTTAAAACAGATTTCTACCACTTCTTATAGGCAAAACTGTAAATCTCTGATCAATCTACGGTGAACTGATAATTTCAGGTGCTTTCAAGTGGATTTTAAAAACTATTTTATATTATTATATTTTATATGTATTTTCTTATCTATTAACTCCTTTAGTGCTCTAGAAATGAAAAGGAGGATGTAAATCAAAATAACACAAGAAATAACATCACTACGGTTCAAAGATAAATGTTATTGAAATGAATAAAACATAGTTGAAGAAATACGAACCAAGGTTTTCCCCTTCTACACAGCTACTACCCATGTTTCACGGAAAATAAGACCGGGTCTTACATTACTTTTTTGCTCCAAAAGATGCATTAGGGCTTATTTTGGGGGAAATTCAGTACAAAATGAGTTTGTCTGGTTGCCAATCTTAACTGGGCTTATTTTTGGGATAGGGCTTGCTTCAATTACGAGCATCCTGAAAAATCATGCTAGGGCTTATTTTCTGGTTGAGTCTTATTTTCAGGGAAACTGTGTATATATACCCGAAACCTTCTTAAAATCTTCTGATGCTGTCCTTTATTTGCTTTGTCTCTACAAATAACTATTCTTAACTTCAGTATGAGAAAATGATACCACAGAAGCAAAAAAAAAAAATCTACAATTTGTTTACAATTAAAGCAAGTAGACAAAAGATATGTAGAAGTCACGGGAAAACAACTGAGTCGAAAGAGAATGTTCAGTTGCAATGCTATGATTTTGTGCAGTGTGTGACTCACCAGTGCATCTAGTTCAAGATTAAGACTCTTTTTTTTAGAAGATAACTTCACGATTTCCTCCTGTTCTCTATTACGCTGATTAAGAAGGTCTTGACGACGAATCCTCTCCCATTCAAGTCGTCTTTGACGCTCGAGTTCTTGTTTAGCTGCCTGAAAATAAAATACCTAAACTATCAGCCTCAATGTTTATGTAATAACAGAATAATTAATAATATTGTGTTCATTTATTGTTTTCATTTTCTTCAGAAAAAAAGTTTAGATAAAAATAATGCCTATTAAAAAAAACCTAGAATGCAACATTCTGTACATAATTTTCAGAAAAGCTTCCATGTATATCTTTTGCAGCAAAATCAATGCAATGTTCTTTGACCTTATGAAGAATAATGGAGGCATGATAATGGAATACTATCAATTTCTTAAATTTAAAATTGAAGGTATTTGTTATTCATCAGATGCAACTTTTCTCTTTATTCCAGTCAATGCTCAGGTTCACAAAGTGCACCCCAAGAAATTTATACTATCATTTACTTTAAGGAGCACTTATTTGAATCCAGATAAAACTGCTTAAATTAGAATTCGGAATAAAAGCTAAAATATAAAATAATTCCTTAATAAGGAAAAAGTTTCTAAAGGAGAACATTTAAAGGGCCCCAAACTCTCACAGGAATAGTTTTACTGAACTGACAAACTGAAACAAATTTTCCAAAGGTTAAATCCCAAAACAATTAGAAAAACAACCTCTCGTTTTTCAATCTCTTTTTTCCGTTCTTCCTCCCTTTGTTTCTCCATCTCTTGCTGTTTTTCCAGGCGCCTTTCTAGCTCAAGTTGTTTCTTCTGCTCCAGTTCCTTCCGTTCCCTTTCTCTTCGCTCCTTTTCTTCTCTTTCTTTCTGTGCTTTACGTTCCATCTCTCTTTGCTGCTGCTCAAGGAGCACTTGGCGCCGTTTCTCCAGTTCCAGGTTGCCCCTTTCGTAGTTTGCCTTCCTCTTATCCTCAAAGGTAACTAGATTAAAGAACAGTGAGTGGCACTGAACTATAAACACTGATCAGGTCATATTCTTCTCAATTACTTTAAAGAGATGGATTATGGTAGAAACCATCCAATAACCAAAGGAAGACAAATGGAGATGCATTTAATTTTATTTTGGAGGCTTTTCAAATCTCAAGGTCTCTATGTATCCTGCTGTTGCTGTGAGTGTTCTATCCAGGTTCATCTGTCTTTACTGCTGTTTCTCATCTTTTTTACTGTTGAAAATGTATGGCTCTAATTAGAATGGACCAGGGCCACACATGAAATCCTTAGGGTTGTAATTCAGACAGCAGCTTCGAAAGTAAGGTAAGCCAGATGCATCTCAAATAAGAGAAATAACTAACATAATTAAACTACCAACATTTCCCCCCCCCAAAATTTTACCCTCCTATTGCAATGCAGAAACAGGGGATCCTAGTTACCTGGAAGTTTCTGGGGAGGTTCCTCTTCTTGTTGATAATTTGGCAGAGCACAGTTAATATTTTCCAAATGCTTTCCATTTCTAGGAGAAAAAGAGAACATAGTCGTTTTTTAAAAATTTCAGTTCATTTAGCATTTTTCTGTAATTTTAATTACATGTCACCTTGTGTTAAGCACCTCATAGAAGGGGGCACAAACTCAGGCGGCAAACTTAGTGGGAGTGGGTGCCCAGCTTTGGCCATATCAGTTAAATGCATAGCTAAGATGAACTCCTCTGCTTTCAGCTGTCCATCACCATCAATGTCAGACAGAGACCTAGGAAAGAGAAATCTGTGTTAAAGGGACCCAGGGAAGTGGGGAGAGCTACTTTGATCTTTGCATACAATGTCTCCAGGATATCGATGATGAAGCAAGGGCCAGCTTTGAAAAATTAGATACAGAAACAATACTTAAAGGTACTGTTAAGCAGGAAGAGGTAGGAAATCCGCAACTATAATATGTAAGCTGCTAAGAGTCACCTTGCAGGGGAGATTGGAAGAATAGAAATTTAATAAATAAAATATCAAAATGTTCCTGAGATCCGGACAGGCTAGTGCTGATGTGAGTTGACATTCATTATCATCCACAAGACAATGGTCTCCCTATTCTCTATAATTCATGTATTCGCACATACCAATTTGGAGGACTCCAGATATAGTCCAGCTAGGTTATGTGGTTGTGTGCTATTGATTTTTTTTAACAGCAAAGAGTCAACATTTGCTTAATTCTCTTATTAGTATGATAATAACTATTGTCTTCAACCTACATTGAGATGTATATCTATAAAGCCCTATAAGCCTGAGCCCCAAGGTAACTTTAGCAGCAACGCCTCTAGTGAAACACAACTTGTTCTCCATGCTCATCCCAACACATTTCCTAAACACGAGAGGTGAAAAGAATGGAAGTCTGGAAATCCATCTGGGAATCAATTTGTATTCCCTGTGGTATGATTTGGTAAGGCTGCTAAGGTGTAATGCTTTTGTTATGATTATGTACTGTGGTAATTATAATTGCAAATATTATTTTTATGGCTTATTTCCAGTATCATGCAAAATGAATTGTTTTAGATTAAAGTAGCATACAAGCTATATGAATAAATGAACGATCCAGGGGAAAAAAAATCAATACTCTCCTTTTGCAATCTAGGAATAATAGTACAATATTAAATGCATAATGACCTAGTCTGCACATAATGCTGAATACAAGATACTACATGTATCATGTACAGAAATAAAAAAGTCACATGCAGCAACAAAAAAGTAAACAGATTAGCAACCACATCCATAAGCAAGCATCCATCTAAGGCCATATCCATAAACACAAAAGCAAAGAACACAGAATATAATGAAGTTGTACACGCACAAAACAATTCCATTCTTCATCGCTACAAGTTATTTGAAACACCAGCTACTACTAAAGAAATACAGGGAAATCATATCAGGAGTTGGTCAAGCAATCCCTGATTATTCTATCTGGAAAACTAAATCTGAGCTATTCAATAAACTTTAGTTAAAACAATGCTTGATTTAGCATTATTTGTGGTTGTCGTGAAAGTAGATAGGTACAGCCATAGTACTTTTCAAGAATTTGAAATAAAAATGTCAATCTATTAAAAAAATTACAAACATGTATTCGTGAACAAACTTACCATATAGTGGCTAACTGTGTCTGAGATAAGTTTGATTGTAGAAGAGCATTTCTTGCCTGAAATCCTTAATAAATCAAATGTAACAATTTATTACACACATTAACATGTAAACCAGTTGGAGCTATGAACTAATGATTTGTATTTTAAAACATTATATAACTAATTTCATTTAAAATTTCATCCCAAAAAGCAGTCTTACAAAAAATCATTCCAAACATAATCAGTACCATAGCTCTCAACTTATGAGCAAAATTAGGACCAAAATTTCTGTTGCAGTCATAAACTGAGTTGGACAGAGTTTTTATGATAATTTTTATGGCAGTCAGGTGAATCACACTATTAAGTGAATCATGCAATTTGTTAAGCTAATCTAGCTTTTCAAATGGGTAGGTTTTGCTAGAAATCAGCAACAAAAGACCCAAATCATGATCACAGGATGCTGCAAACAGTTGTAAAAGTGAGATGACTCCCAAGAGCCCTGACTATAATCAGGACTGTAGGCTTATTGGGAATCGAAACATATTCCTGAAAGCATTTCAAACTATATTCAAACTATATTCAAACTATATTCAAACTATTACCAACTATAGAGATAATCCATGAAGTCTCCAAATATTGTCCTTGATTTGAAGGAGATTCTACCTTATTTATTTCACAATACAGAAAAAAGTCTTTTCAAAGTAATTCCCTTTGAAATGCTATCCATTTTAATCTGTATTGCAAAAATACAGAAAAACCATTTTGTTAATTAAAACTAGGACAATATGATGTGATGTGTAGGCGCTTTCAAAACCAGAAAAATAGTTAAATATTCTCTAATAGTTAGAGAGTATTAATTTTAAAATAAATCTTGTGTATTTTTATTGTTGAGAGCCAGCCTGGTCTAGTGGTGAAGGCACCAGGCTAGAAAGAGACCGTGAGTTCTAGTCCCACCTTAGCCATGAAAGCTAGCTGGGTAACCTTGAGCCTGTCACTCTCTTTCAGACCAGTCCACTTCATAGGGTTGCTTCTTGGAGGAAAACAGGAGGAGGAAGATGTGTTGGATATGTTATTTGATATTAAGTTATTTGTAAAACAATAAAGAGGGAGATATAAACAAATATAAACAAACTCATCTTTAAATCCAGCACTAACCTGAAAGATATCCAGTCATTCCTTTATCAAGGTAATTAAATTTTTGCCTATATTTTAATCTTGAAGCCTGAGGAACTGCCCAATCTGAAGATCCTGCCTTTGGTGAATTGCCAGTTAATGAGGTAGTGGAAGAAGAATTTGAACTGTAATATAAACCAGAGTCGATTAAAAAAAACCCTGTGATATTCAAAATTAACATTCTTCTTGAATTTTTCTGCAGATTACTATTTTTTTCCCAACCAATCTTCCCAAATACTGAGATTATACTTCAGGTGCAAATATAATAAAAAGAAATGGTTTTGTTGGGGTGGGGGGAAAGAAAGAAATTATCTATCAATTGAGGCTTAATATTTCAAGTCTGAAGGTCCATACCTACTAGATCCTAAATCTATTAAGGACTGAGTTTTCTGGATGTTGGAACCACCAAATCCTCCTATCACGGGAGTGTATGAATTAGAATGAGGCAAAGCTGAAATAAGAGAAATGTTGAAATGGGTTAATAATTAGCTGAGTCCCGGAAAGAAACATCATCATCTTTACTTGAAAAAGAATTCTGGGAGTTGAAGTCCACAAGTTTTTAAAGCTGCCAAGATTGGACATCCTGATATATAAAAACAGTTGAATGTATGCTTAAGTGCATTTCTTTTAGGTACGTAGATCTGATTTTATAAAAACTTTTGGACTAACTTTTAGAATCTCCCTGATTCCAATGCCTATTAGCCAAAACCTGAGGGAGGAACCTGGAAGGGGTGGGTGGGTTTCTAAGCAAAATTATCGGACTTTTGAGGGGACAGGAGTTAGAATAAAATACTGTAACTAATTTAAGCATCTGCAAAGCCAATCAATCTGCCTCCTGGGTCAAAGCAACATGCTTGGAGAACAAACCACCACCAACATCAAGCTGTCAAAACTGGAGTCTTTCTGACATGAAGGTACTCACTGGAAGAATAGGACATAGCTAATGGCTGAAGAAGGCTGGGGGTTCCATTTGGCAACGATGGAGGGCTGGCAGAAGGCAATAGTGGGGTTGAAATCATCATGGGAGAAATGGAAGGTACAGATGTCAGATTGGACATGGGAGCCAAAGGTGCTACTGTAGACAGATTTGGCATACTGCCCATACCTGGAAAAATTCAAGAGTCAATATAAATACACCAGTCCAAGACTATTGACTCAACCCCGCTTGTTATATATAGAAAGAGAAACAGTTTCAAGGACACAGTATGATGTCTGGTTACAGTTAGTTTGAGAAATCATCATCATAAAATTCATTAGTAGTAGTCATATAATAACTGTGTTTTCTCATAATTCTTGTTAATTATTGATACTTATTAACATTAATAATAAATATATCATAATGTCCTTATAGTAAAGTTAATCCTTCTCTGATAATTTTAAAACATTCTAACTTTTGACACTTAGTTAACCATTGATAAAAAAAATCCCATATTTCAAAATATTCCATGCCTTCTCTTTAATTTCAAGTGTTAATCAATTTCTGCATATTCTAGTATTTTTTTTTATTATCTTCTCTTTTGTAGGGATCTCCACACTTTTCCAATGCTATGCAAATACAATTCTAGCTGCTGTTAGCACATGTAGTATTAAATATAGTCCCTTTATTATATGAACATGATTTTTATGAAACTGGCTGTTGACAGAGAATTCAAAGGACTAGACTAAACATTTTTTACTTTGATGGGATTTTTATGACATGTCTTTAATATTAAATTGTTTTAATAAATTACTGTCCCTTTATATATTTGAATTCCACTAATGTGGATATTTGTATCTAACACCAGGACAGATATTGTAAAAACCAGTTTTAGTTCAGCAGCTTACATTTGCACAAAGTATTATTTCATTTGATCCACCAAATGGCCAGAATTTCCCTCTTCTGGCTGGGAAAATTAGGATAAGTCCAAATATTGGAAAGCAGCAGAATGAAAATAATATAATTAAGTGCTTGTTTTTATTGTACCCAATCGCTATCAAAATATTTAACTATATTTTCTTCATATAGTTTTAACAAATGTAATGCTTGTACAAATTTGCAGAGGATCTGCCATCATTATCACCCGCATATTTGCATGTTTACCAAAACGAGCAGAAATCAAGGGAGAAAACGCTGGAGTCTGTTTCATGATTGGAGGAAGCACCATGGGCAAGGACTGGCCTTGCAGTTTGAGTTTGATGAGTTTCATAGCTATGGAGAACTCCAGCTGATCCATTTTCCCATCTTTATTCAGGTCACTAAGAGCCCTTTAAAACAAACAAAATGCATACAAATTGAGTGTATGGATATATGTTCAGTTGTTAGTGACCGGTATTACTGTGTCAATTACTCACACCTAACACAGCATGAAGTTTTTTCCACTATTTCTAGCAATATCTGTTTCGCATCCCTTATCTCGAAACAAGTCTCACAAACATTTCTTTTAGCAAGCCTGTTATGTTGCCCTCTCCCCTCTTTGGAAGAACTTTGTAGCTACCGTTGCCTTAAGAAAGTTCAAAACATTCTTAAAGATCCATTTCATCCTGGAAACCCGTTTTTTGAACTATTACCACGTGGCAGAGGGTACAGAATAATAAAAACATGGACAAATAGGCTGAAAAACAGCTTCTACCCCAGGGCAGTTGCTCTTTTGAATTCTGCTGTATAGTGCAGTGTTGGTGCAGTGTCGGGGTTTTTCGGTTCAATGTGTGGTGGGTGAAGGATGTGTGTTTATGTTTATTTTCATGGTCATGATGTGCACTGAAGATGGTGTTTGGTTTTGTTGTACGAGGTGCAATGACAATAAAGTAAACTGAAACAGCCAATGGGCAAGGGTGAGAATTGAGCACACTGAAATCCACGAATCCAAGGGCTATATTTGGCCATAGTCACCAAGTGCTATAACTATTAGGAAAAGGATACAAAAGTACATCCACATTCCTGACATCAAAACTCTTTCATTCAAAGTATGCTTGGTAGAAAACTTACCAACCTGATAAACACTTTGTCAATTAGCACCCATTCAAATGTGCTCTAGTTAATAAACTTAAAAGAAGAAAATGTTTTAAAAAATCCCTCTTAAAGGATGGATTTTCCAATCAGATTCTCAAATTATTTTCAGAAATGATACTGATGATGATCCATTTTAAGAGTTCTGCCATAATAGGACTGCTTTACAGTATAAATTTAAATTTAGATGTAAATATGCCATTTTTAAGATAATGCCAATCAGTTGAGGATCTGTATATTACATGGTTCAGAAAGAGGCCTGAGAAAATATCTACAGACCCCTCCTATCATGGACATAAACCCCTCAGGTTGCTGCTACAAAGACCTTGCATGCTAAACAACTAGACACAGAGTTTTTCCCCCTCATGCCATCATATCTTAGGATATTTACCCATTTAATACAGCTTTAGTATTATTATTATTATCCTTCTCATCTTTTCCACAACCATCTATTATTGGTATCATTATTACTTTGTTGTACATTGAGACTTTATATAGTGAAGACAAATTCATTGTGTCTAATCACACTTGGCCAATAAAGAATTCTATTCTATTCTATTCTATTCTATTCTATTCTATTCTATTCTAT